TAACTATATAATATTGTTATATTAAAAATATTATTTTTGATTTATTTGTTTGGGGGAGGGGTGGTTAACAGGAATAGCTAGCTAGAGTATATGTCAGAAATTATGTGTTTTTGATAATTATTATTTACTACTAGTTTATGATTTGAAGGTTCCAGCTGTGATAGGGAGGGAGACAACGGTATCCATGCTGCTTCAAGAAAATGTACCAGAGGTATAATTGCCATCTTAATTTATATAACGTATTAACCCAATTTAAGCTTAGAAGTAGCTTCTAAAATTTAACAGGGTCTACTTAATACATGGAACTAGGTAACATTACAGAAACTGTACTTGCATGAAAAACTTTGAATTTCTTAACCCTTTTTTTTAACTTAATTTCAGTATGCTGACCACCTCATAAAATTGTTTTTATTTAAATGTAGATTCTACCAATGGAAGAAACAGTGACCTGCATAACCGTAAGTTCTTTGCTCTTAATGAGTTAATGAATCATGGCTGTTATCACAAATCACAAGGACAAATTTTAAAAGCCTTTTAGAACTATTCAAAAAAAAAAAATGGTGTAAAATAGGGGTGAAATGGTTCACCACGGTATCGATTCACCATGGCATTTTTTCTTGGTTAGATAAACAGTGCAAAATCTCTACTTTCGTTTAACAGTCAAAACATTCTAATCAATTTCTTCTAGTCAACTTGCATGTAAATTAAGAGACTAGATTTAGTAAAAGAAAGCATAAAGCAATGTTGAATTTGTTTCCTTCTATCAAAATGTAACACATCAAAATTAATAGTACCAAGACAAAATTATACAAATATGTATTGAAGGAGGTGTATTGTTTCACCCCTAGTGTAAAATATATTTTCCCAGCAGATGCATTCTGTATTAATCGGGCTAATTCACAGGACTGTTAGTGCTTTCGGCTCATGCCTCAGAAATGATACATGTATGAGACCTGTTTACCCATATTGTTGTCTCTCAGTATTTTTTATTAGATTTCAAATTCAAATGTTTGACCTGTATTTGTCTAAGAGTTAGATAAACAGCAATACTATAGCATATTTTTTTTGTTACATTCAGTTTTTCTTTTTTATTTGCTTTGACTTTACTTGTTTAATCATATTTTATTTCTTGTTTCAGGAAGGAATGCAAGATGAGAAACAATCAAAAAAAAGAAAAAAACGAAGAAGAGTACAGCTTGAGGATTTTGTTGAAGAGAATATACAAGCTCCAGAGAATGAAAATGTTATAGAAACTGAAATACCACAAATAGTTAACATAAAGGACAGGTCTTTTGACTTTGATTTTCAAATGCCATTGGAAAATGAGGAGGAATGTTCTGATAATGACCAAGATGTGGAAGAAAATGTTGATCTAGAATTTGCTGATGAAGAAATTTCTGTGCTTCAAGAATCGGTTGTTGAGGCTTTGAATGAAATAGTACCAGATGTGCTGGAGGCACAAGAAGATTCAACTTCCAAAGATTACAGCTCTGAACCTCTCTATGATGGTTGTTCCCAAAAACTTGGCAGTATCATACTTATCATCTGTAGCCTCAGCATTAGATTCAAACTGTCTGATGAAGCTCTAAACCATGTAATCAACCTTTTGTGCCTTGTTTTACCCCCTGCCAACACAATGATTAAAAGTGTGTATGCCTTGAAAGATTACCTAAAAAAGTTTGTTAGTTTTCCTTCCATTCACTATGTATGTTCATGGTGTGGAACTCATGTTGCTAAAGAAGATAAAGTTTGCAAAAATAATCACTGTCTGAAAGATCTTACACAATTAGGAGCCATTGGCTACTTTATTCAACATTCCATTATTGACCAGCTGGCACTTATGTGCAAAAGAGAGTCTTGGCTAAAGAAAGTACAAACTCACAGATTTTTTCACTACAGCAACAAAAAAGAAAAGAACATTTCTGATGTTTATGATGGAACAAATTACAAAACAGCATTCAGAAGTGGTTTCCTTGATAATCCTAATTCTTTATCATTTTCATTTAATACTGATGGTGTTCAAATATTTAAAAGTTCAACTCTGTCTATGTGGCCAGTTTACATGCTTGTTAATGAATTACTACCAACAGATAGGAAACTGAAGGAAAACATTATTTATTATGGATTATGGATAGGATTGAAAAAACCACAAATGTGGAGTTACTTAAAGCCACTGCATCAGGAGATGACCAGATTGGAAGATGGTGTGCTGATGAATGACAAACATGGGAATAACTTTTTAATGAAAGCTACAGTGTTAAATTGTGTCTGTGATCTTCCTGCAAGATGCATGGTTAGTAATAGCATGCAATTTAATGGAAAGTATGGATGCTGGTTCTGCCACCAGCCAGGGCAGACATACACCACCAATAAAGGAGGGCACGTTCACATATATCCTTTTCAAGAAGACAATCCAAAAGGTCCATCTAGAACTGCGGAAAATCTACAGGAGGACGTAAATAATGTTGTAAAGAACATTCATGAACGGAAATCGGATTTTGTAGTGAGAGGAATAAAGGGCCCTTTTTGGTTCATGTTTATGAACCAATTCAATGTGATCCATGGCTTTGTTGTGGATTACATGCATGGAATTTGTGCAGGTGTTATGAAGATGTTGCTAACTTTATGGTTTGATAAACAACACAAGGATGAAAAGTTTTCATCCATAACAAACAAGGTTCTAGTCAGTGACAGATTAAAGTCAATTCAACCAAATTTGCAAATAACCAGACCACCCAGAAGTTTAGACGACATGCCACACTGGAAAACAGCAGAATTCCGTAATTTTCTCTTTCTTTGGAGTTTGCCAGTTCTTGATAACATTTTGCCTAGAGACTACTACTTGCATTTTTCTTTGCTTGTACGTGGCATTTACACCCTCTCTAAAGAGAATATTTCAGAAACAGAGTTGCAAAATGCTGAAATGTGCCTGATCAAATTTGTTGAAAATTTTCAAATTATGTATTCTGAAAGATTTATGTCAATGAATGTCCACCAATTATTACACATTACAGATTCAGTGAGAGCAAATGGACCTTTATTTTCAAACAACTGCTTTGTTTTTGAAGATTTAAATGGCTATATTTTGAAAAACATTCATGGACCAACTGGAGTAGAAATGCAGATTATAAATGCAGTTACAAAGATGCAATCTATTCCTACTCTTAAAGAAAAATTCATTGGAGAAGGTTCTTTAGAGGAAACTTTGGTGGAAAATATCTTGCGTCCTAATTTTCTGCATAATAATATTTGTATTGAGGATGGAATTTATTTATTGGGACAAACATGTCCAAAAACTTTGATGCAGGATGAATACTTGGCAGTGTGCAAATTAATTTCCACTTTTTCCCCTGAAGTCACCGAATACAGGAAGATATATATGACTAGGTTGTCTAGTGCTGTGTATGCTGCATCTTATGAACGTTTGAAAAAGCGCAATCAGAGCACAGTGAAATATTCAGATGCTACTGGATCCATACAATTTGGAACTGTGAAAACTTTTGTGCAGGTTATAGATACATTTACTGATGAGACTGTCAATGTTGCTTTGATTGTGCCTCTTTGTTTTGGTGAAAGTGTATCATATTCATCTCAGAAACCATGCCACAGAGTTTTGACTGTCCATAATGCAGATATAATTGCAATACAGATTGACAAGATTTTGAGAGTGTGTAATTTACTTAAAATAGGCAACTCAACATTTGTCACTGAATTTCCAAACAAGTATGAAAAAGACTAAACGTTAATTTATATAGGTAATTCAACATTTTACTTGCTGGCAGATTTTTTGAAATTGAACTTCTGAAAATAGCCATACAATCATAAGATAATATTTTTTATATTCATGCATAAATAGAGAAATAGTTGACCAATTTAAACTTAATGTGGTGTCATGTTGAATCAACACTTGTTTCTTTAAAAATCAGGAAATAAATACATACTATTTAATGCAAATTTCTTGATGACTTATGTTCATGTAACTGACATGTACTGAATATAAGGAATACAAAGAGAAGCAGGTTTATAGATATAAGTTCCCTAAAAAAAGTTAAGATATATTTCCTTTTTTTTTTAAAAAAGTACATTATTTGAAGAATTAAAAGTATTATTTAAGATAAGAATGTATGAATTGAATTAAAAGGGCTAAGTTGCAAAATTACTAGTAATCTTTTAGCAGTTTTGAGAAACTGCTTGTTTGACTGCTTAAGTTTGTTTAATGCTGAACTGCTAACAGAAATTCTTAGCAGTTTCTTAACCAGTCTCTTAGCAGTTTTAAGGAATGCTAAGACTAAGACTGTTAGGAACTGCTTAAAAACTGCCTAAAAACTTCCAGACTGCCTAATAACTGCTTATAAACTGCTAAAATAAGCAGTTCACTTTGACTTGGGTGACAAGACTTTGAAACATTGATGACTTGTATTATGTTTTACTGTACATGGTAGGTTTATCCTCTCAATTCACATCTTTATGAAACAATTTGATCTCAAAATTGAAGAATTTTTATAAAGAGCAGTGGAAAAATTCAATATGGTTTTCATTTGGGAAACTTTACCTTAAAGGGGGGGGGGGGGGATCAATTTTCAATTGGGTTAATCATCAAAGGGATCTGTTTGATGTATTCCAACCAGTCCAAGGAGAGGGTCCACCACCAGATGTCAGAAAATACAGAACATATATGTACCAATTTCTCTTAGACAGTTTTTTTGTATATTGAAAATGCAAATTTAAAATTTTCTGTTCAATCTGCTGTAGAAAATGATGCAGATTTCTTGGATTGCCTTTGTAGTGAGTGCCTTCAATGCACTTTATTTAAGATTGCTTGAGAAATTTCCACAAAAAATTTGGGATGGTGCACATAGCATAAATTAATCCCACAAAGATATAAGTATACATCTACATGTACATGTACAGGTATTTCTAACATCGGACAGAATGAATAAGCATTTGCTAATTTTCTTTTGATAAATATGATATACATGTATTATGTTTTTACTTTTCAGTAATCAAGGGGGATATGGAGCACAGCCACAAGGTGGGGGATACCCACCACAAGGAGGATATCCCCCTCAGGGAGGGTATCCTGGAGGTGGAGTGCAACCACAAGGAGGGGGATACCCAGGAGCATACCAAGGAGGTGGTCCCCCACCAGCTGGAGCTTACCAAGGAGGTGGTCCCCCACCAGCCGGGGCTTACCAAGGAGGTGGTCCCCCACCAGCTGGGGCTTACCAAGGAGGTGGTCCCCCACCAGCTGGGGCTTACCCGCCACAAGGTGAGGTCTATATCAAGCTTTGGTACCAAATGAATATGGATACCGACAGTGATGACTGAAAAGTCAAAATGATAAAAATAATAATATTAAAGGTTTTAGAATGTAATTCATTTTAGATACAATACTGTTATTTTTTATGTTATATTGTTATTGTAAGGTTTGTAATATAATGTAACTGTAATGTCAATTTCTTAACAGGAGGAGCTCCCCCTCCTGCAGGGTCTGTTCCAAAGTATTCAGGGGAAATGCCAGATGATGATGTCATGGATGACCCAAACCGAGGAGAAACACAGCCTACAGCGCCCCCTTTGGAGAAGATGGATCACATAGGAGGTTACAATAATATCGGCTTTAGTGCCCGTAAGTTTAATTATTATATAGCTAATAAATAGTCTATAATAAAAAACTACTGTAAGTCTAGAGAATTTTAGTGTTCGATCAATATCTTGCAGTTTTATTGAATGCTGAGTTTGCGTTATGTATAGTGTGAGTATATCCCGAAATATTTACATTTGCTGTGTTTTTCTATTAAGCCAACTGAAACTGATTTGAAAGTCATTTTTGTGTATATGCACGTGTAGAAATATACACTGTGAAACTCGCGCTAAAGTGACATCACAATGAGGCTACAGAGACGTAAATAAAATGTAACGATAAAGGACAACAAGAAATCCAAATATTGAGTATATTATTGCTGCTTTTAAACTTGTAAAATGTAAATATAAGGAATGTTTTTAAGTTTAGTGTGAATTATTGGTGTGTAAATCACAGATTTGCACGTAGGCATATTTTTCATGAAGTGCTAGCGCGCTTCATAAAATATGCCTATGTGACAAGTCTGTGTGATTTACACACCAATAACTCACACAAAACTTAAAAAAATTCCTTAAATATTCCGAATATGAGCGTTCAATATAGAACACCCTGTTGTAAACAAAAATTGTTGTCTGGTGAACCGCTTAATGACAATATATGAAGAGTAGTGACAGCTAGGTAAGATTTGTGTATTTTCACACAAAATTGAAATTATTAAAAATTTAGTACCTATTAGCCCTAATAAAAACCTCAATAAGTAAAACATAACGATGTTACGCTTTGTAGGGTCATTGGAATGATGTGATATTGAACACTTACAGGAAAATCACTGATATTGGACAATTTTAATTTGAATACCAATACTGAAGAATTCTCTTTAATTTTAGGTTATTTAATTGAAATAATTGATATAAATCAATGGAAAATGTTTCAGCTATTAAGTAAAGGAGTTATTGAACTTATATTGGTGAATATTGGCACTAGGCTCTACAAATGCACTCTCAAGCTTGTGCATTTGTACAGCCAACTCGTGCCAATATTCACTAATATAAGTTCAATAAACCTATAATATTAATTAATTGCACTGTATACCAAAATAAAGTAATTATAGATAATGAAACTGAAATCCCATGCTTAAAAATATCCCTCTTAGACTTTGGCCTTATCTTTTTCTATTTTAAATGAAAACACCCTTTCCTTAATACGATTAGAGGAATATTTATATATGATTATCTTTAGTGCATTAAACTCTGTGCATAGATTAATACATATGTATTTTGCAATAAAACTTTTAAAAAGTTTGAATATTTAACAAAAAAAAATTTTCCTTATGAGTCCAATTAGGAAAAGTCAATAATTTGAGTTTTTTTAATCAGATCAGTTCTCAGCGAATTAAATTTCCTTATTCAGACCTTCTTCCTCCACCATCATATGATGAGGCCACAAAACCCCAGCCACCAGAGGAGAGACAGGCCATCCAAAAGTAGGTCACAAAAAAGTCAGGGGAATCTGACAAAGAGTATTTATTGGATTCATATTGAAAGATACATACATATATATATATATATATATATATATATATATATATATATATATATATATATATATATATTATACAATTAATTACCCCTTATGCGGTCAACATGGTAAAATAAGGACCCGAGACCTGGCCCACGAGGTGACCTGACCTGACCGAGGCCGCGTAGCGGCCGAGGTCAGGTCAGGTCAGCGAGTGGGCCAGGTCGAGGGTCCTTATTTTACCATGTTGAACTCATAAGGGGTAATCAATTGTTTTATTATACCGATATAAGTTAAGGCAATTTTTGTAAGCTTAATTACTAAAATAATCAATTACATGTATAAGACCTACGAACTGTTATCAGTGTTTCATCGGGATCGGGATTCGCTAGTGAAGTTGTTTACTTTTCGGCTGCTAGTCTTGTAAGTTTTTGCACCGCCGAATTATTAAAACACTCTGTGATTGTCAATAACATTGCATTTTTATAAATTCACAGATACCATTCCCGACTACAATGACAATCTGGTGCAGACTTTTACTGTACAAGAGAGCCGAGTCTGCGTTCGTTGAATTGTAACGAAAGTTAATTTCAATGAAAACGATAAATGTTATGACGCATCTAAAGGCCAATCGTGTTCCGTATCCTAAAAATACCATACATATTTTTATAACGGCAATTTTTGTAATGTACAATCATTACTGTATGCATATTTTTTTTAATTTGAATGGAATTTGGATTAACAGGTCATTTTTAGCGGTCATTAATTTTATTGACCGGTCATTATACCCCACGTGCAATGATTCCTAGGTCATTATTGCTGTAAACGGTACTTTTTGGAGTCATTATTGAGTTTAAAAGCCTTCTAACAAGCCAATCAAATTTGAGTATTCTTAATAGAGGTATAATAAATATATATATATATATATATATATATATATATATATATGAACATGTGCATGGTGTACAGGTACATGTGCTTTGCTGAAAATACAATGTGTATTGAATAAATATGTTTTTCAATTTTTTTTTCTGGCAAAGTTTGTGGATGGTCACCAAAATTTACATGTCCTGTGGAATCATTTTAATATGTGGGGTCAGTGTTGGTAAGCCACCAAAAGTTTTCTGGCTTGTGGGTAATTTCATGGCTATCTCATATACCAAAGACTCAGTGAATGGATAAATTGATGGAAATATGTTCATGGGGATGTAAATTCTTGGGTAAGGGTGACTCATGAATTTTTACTTACATTGGTCCCCCACTAACATTTTGCGAACAATATCATGATTCCACAGTATTTATTTTCAGATTCAATACTATGGGAAATTGTAAGCAAGTGCCTGTTAAAATAGTGAAAAAAATTATCCTTGTGGGGAAAAACTGACTATTAATATCAGTATTATGCAAACTTGTAGTGATTGTGTCTGTTTGGTAAAATTTCAAGCTCAAGCATGATTTTGCATATATTTTTTCCCATTTACAGGTAGTATTTGATTTTTTATATCAGTCATGAATGCATAATGAATTAAATATTTTCAGTGTCCCCACTATTACAGAACAGGATGCCAGGGAGGCACTTTTAGGTTATGTGGCAGAACACTGTTGCTATGGTAAAGGGGCTGCCGAAGATCTCAGATTTACTGACCTCATATCCACAAGCGCATTTCACGTAGGTTAATTTCTGAGATCTTATATAGCATGGCTTATCATCTTTCTGTAGTCGGAGGTCAAATTTTTATAGTCAGTGTTTGCTTCTTGTAATACAGAGAAAATCAGATCTCATGTACCAGTATATTTTTTTTTATTTTTTGAGTTCTGTGTTTATTTTTAGTATACTCTAGAATCCTTTGGAGAAGGTAGATCTACCTGCTGGGCATATGAACCATATTCAGGTATGATTTTAATGGTTGTCCTTCAGATTTTCTCTACAGATCTGTCTCATCTTCATAGAAGCAACAGAATCAACACAATTTTTTTTTCCTTTAAATTTTTTTTAAATTAAGTTTTAATTTATTGGTCAGTGCAATAAGATTTCAGATCTCACTTTTTTTTTTTTTGACAAGCACATGAATAGTCTACCCATGTGTTTGATGCACACACTGTGACCTTGTGAAAATCGACATTAAAATTATTTAAAATACATGTGAGTAAGAATTGTTCTAATGAAAAGTATTATTATCAATTTGTTTCACATGTATATTCATGTCCTTTGTATTCTGATGGATATACCTATATATGATCTGGTATGAACATCTTTATTTATAAAGAAACATGCATGAATGGAAACATTAATAGCATTGTTTTAAATAAATTCTCTAAATAAATTGAACTTGAACTTTAGTGATGTTCATGTATTTTAATCACAACTACCGTTATTATCGGCATAATTATGAAATATTTTTTAAATGTAGTAATACTCTACCCTCTGATGCAGTCTGAACTGTTTTTAAAGGACTTATCGCATGTTTCTAAATTATTTGAAATTAAAAGCGTAAAACGTTCCTTATGACCACAGTTTATAAATTTTGTGTTTTTACTGCGGATAAACCGCGGTAATTAACCAATTATTGACTCAAATGAAAACCCCTGAATTAAAAATCTAAGTTAATTAGATAGCGATCACGTGACCCTGTGACGTCAAAGGCGACAATGGCTGATCAGCTCTTCACGTAAATCTTACTAAAATATACGCGATACAACCTGAATTTTCTGCGTTGTGGACGACCAAATCACTGATTTTATCGATATGAAATTGAATATCCAACCTTATATTTTAGAATTGTCAGCAAGAAATAATCTGAAAAATCCGTTAGCATTGTAAAAAGAGCAGCGACGATAGCGAGAGAGACGCGGCGAAGACGAAGAAACTCCCCGTAACAACACAATTTGATTTGTCATTTTATCACATGTATGAACTTATTTATTCACAAATTTAAATTACATAACTTTGTTATTCTTCGTTTTTAACATAATATTAACTTATGCAAGTATGCCATCATATGTTTTGTAAAGGATGGCGGTCTTGAAAAATAATTTTCCGATCACGAAACATTGCCGTAATCAGACCTACAGATCCTATTTAAATGTTTCGAATAAAAAACGAAAATATCTCAAAATTCTTACACCTTAGAACTAGTTAATGTTTCTATTGTAATTGAAAATCACGTTAGGAATTAATTTTTTCAGCATTTTTCATAATTAAGCTGCATTTGTCGTTGATAACTCCGTAAATAGTGTGCAACTTCTCATCTCTCTATCACTGAATTGTCGCCTATGACGTCAGAGCAGTATTTCGCCGAAATCCGACTGAAATATGCATATTGCTGTATTTGATTTTCAACTCTCAATATCTCTTAAAATACGCTTTCAAAAATGTTTATTGTATTCAGAATTTTAATAAACAAGGTTGTAGATAATATTTTTCATAAAATTAAGATTTTTGAAAAATCATGCGATAAGTCCTTTAAATACTGTTCTTTGGTAAATATATTTTTTCAAACCATACATCGGTACTTTATTAACCATCATCCTTTTCTTAGGTTTTTGAACTCCAACATGCCTTTAAAAAATTTCCATTACTTATTGATGTGTAAAAAAAAAAATTAGTCAATTATTAAATTGAATTTTTATCATTCTCTGATAAAATAATCTGGTTAAAATAATATTTAGTGCGTGTAATATTTAAAGTGACCTTGTTGAATTTACTGATATTTTGAATCATACTTGATATATTTTTTTCAAAATTTTCTTCAGGCCAGCCAATAGATGGACCACACAATGGCCCAGCTCCAGGCCCCTGGGACATACAGGCCTCACCCCAAACAATGTTTCAGAACTCAGAACAAAATTTTGAAGTGCCACACACCGCTTCTGTCAAAGTAAGATTTTTTTCTGAGGAGGTCACAAATGCATTAACAGTTTAGAGGAAATTTTGTTAAGAGGAGAAGAGGGTTATGGAAAAGCATACTTTATGTACATATACTATAAACCAACTTTTATTTGCGTGCAAGAAATATATATTCACGAGTTTCGCGACCTACTTTTACTCACGAATATTAATCGCCGCAAACCATTTATTTGCTTTGTATTTGTATAGAATGTTTCCACAGTCGCGAAAATTAATCGTTGCAGATTGATTTCAAAGTGACGAATTGCGACTAAAAGTTGACGCAAATAATAGTTGGTTTACAGTAATCCCTGTTACGAATTTCTCTGTCATCTGGTGCTGTTGTACTCATGATTCCTATACACCTATATACGTATATTTTCATTACATGGTTTTTTCCCAAAATTATGCAAGTGATGTATATGTATTGTTGTTTGATGTTTCTTTTGTTTTTGGCAAATGAAATTTTTTTTTAGCAAGGTAATTTATTCAAAAATTTGATGAATGCAATCTTTTCATAGTAAATAATATGCACATGTGGTTTAGGAATTGACAGATATATTTTTTCAGTAGATAATTATTTATTAACTCCACTCAAATTTATTTTCATTGTTTACTTACAGTAAAATACAGTAAATGTACATGTAACACATTGAATGTAAATTAATAAAAAATTACTTTGTTTTGTAATTTCTCTTTTAGCCCTGTCATGATTGTTTTGCCACAGGCTATGTCAGATGTCACAGATGTTTTGGCCGTGGGAGGGTAAGTCAACAGCTAGCATTCTTTTCTCCAGCTCCAGATTAAACAAAGATTGTTTTCAAGCAACTCCAAGAATTTTACAAATATTAATTCTAGATCGACATAGAAAAAGATGAAATGTTTGAACTTAATTGTAGGTAAGATGCAACCATTGCCATGGAAGTGGTCATGTGACTCGTTACCATAATGGCGAACACAGGCATGAGCGATGTCATTGGTGCCATGGATGTGGAAGACGAGAGTAATTTTACCCCTTTATTTCTGTTTATTCAAATACATTGAAGTACGCCATCTCAAACTCTGATATATCAAATACTACTGATTTGGTGAAGTGATTTGAAAGTCCAACCAACATTGTCTTTACATGATTTATACACTCAATATCTAGAATTCTCGGATATATTGAAGTTTTTTTCTTGGTCCCATCAAGTTAGAGATAACGAGGTTTGACTGTATTTCAAATATAGTGCATATTATCTGTTTGAGATACATCATGTAGCTTTAAAAAGAAAATGTAAATTGTTATAATTGTCTGGGGTTTTTTCCTGTAAAGTAAGATTTAGTGTCATTGTGTCAAATATATACATGGACATTGCAAATCCATGTCTTTAATAATACTTGCTGATTTATTAGGTGTTACACTTGTCATGGACATGGAATGGTGGTGTGCAAGACATGTGCTGGGCTTAGAAACTTAAAATGCTATATCAAACTTACTGTCAAATGGTAAGAAGACAAACATATTATTCATCTGTCAAACTTACAGTGCTCTATCAAGCTTAACAGATGGTTAGAGGACACAAATATTATTCATCGATCTATCAAACTATGTAAAGCTTAATATGGTTTAAATGGTTAGAAGACAAAAAATGATATTCATTAAAGTTAACTTAAAGTACTGTATTAAGCTTACAGTTAAATGGTAAGAGAACAAAAATATTCATCTAGCGATTAATAAGTTACGATGAATTAGACCAGGCAAATTTTAAGATGGAGTCGGTTACAGATTACTTGCTCATATACAGGACAAACCATGTCAACGATCACATTGTGGAGCGTACCCCTCTCCCTGATCATCTGATAAGAAATGTGTCGGGACAGATTGCTTTTGAGGAAACTAATGTCAAGGTAAGGTTATGGTGGATTGAAATTTGGGGTAAATATGATGTTTTTTTTAATTTCAGGGTTTAACCCAGTAGAGCTTTTCTGTGCATAAATAATCCATCAGCTGTTAATTAAAATATGTAATAATTGCTCAAATGTGCACCATCTTTAATCTCTGAATAATCAAAAAAAAAAACTGGTTACAAATATTCTTGAAAGGGGGGAGGGGAGTGGAATTTAAAGGGTTTGAGAGGAGGAAGTATTCATTATATTTTAGTAATAAGTCAGCAAAACCAGCAAAATCGGAATGAATCATTTTGTAAAAATGGTAATGGTGAAATTTCAGGCTTAAAAAGATTTTATTTTTTGATTTACGTAGGTTTGGCCAATCAACCACTTCCATGAAAGAGAAATTAATGAAGCCTCAGTGCGCTTGATCAACAATCACCAGTTCCCCTCTGAACGTATTCTGATGCAGGTATGTATTTGTCATCAGTACAGCAACAAGTCCTGCATGTGCTCACATTTTTTTTAAATACAATCGCTATGTATGTCAACATCAAAAATGAATGCAATAATTAACTTTATATACATGTATGCTTGCAGTGGTTTATCTGGTTTTGAAAATAGCACATAGCAGAATAGTCTAATCCACACTTTGCAAAAGTTGTGTTCCTTTGCGGGGTCAACCAGAAGGTCAACAGGGAAAGAAACTGTTTTCATGTCTTTTCATACTACCAAACATTTGAGCATGCTCTGATGAAGAATTTTCTTTCAATGTGTGGGTTGCCCCATGGGCAATCAAAATACAAGAGGCAAAGACTTTTTTTACTCTCAAATGACAAAGTTATATACCAGAAAGCTACAAAGTTTTTTTCACCAAATATGCCCACCTGGTACCAAGGGACATAACTGTTAGAAAGTGTGGATTCAACTTTATCTCCAGAATAAATTCAGAATGCTCTGAGCAAAAAAATAAAATGCAGAAATCTTTCTTCAATAATGATACATGTACCTGTGATCTTTCCTCAACAATATTTGTTTAAATATATTTGTTATTTCAGAGACACAGAGTAAGAATAGTGCCTGTCACCCAGTGTATGTACAAATGGAAGAATACAGAGTCAGACTTCTTTGTTTACGGATTTGAACACCACTGTTATGCACCAAACTACCCTCAAACCTGCTGTTGTGGGTGTTCAATCCTGTAATCAGTCTGTCACCAACCAGACTAAGGACAGATTATTCTATCATAATATTCTAGAATATTCTCAAAAGTGCTAGAGTAATGTAGTGGACAGATTTTTTAGATCACCTGAGTCATTCTGGTGATGAATTGCTATCCAATTCTGTCCAACCCCCCCCCCCCCCCCCCCCCCCCCCCCCCCCCCGTAACATTGATGAATATTTTCACCTTCTTTTCAAGCTTTGAAATGGCTGAACAAATTCCAGTCAATTACATTTAGAGCATCTATATGTACATGTATATGTGAATCACCATGTCTGCTCATATACATGTACCAAAATGTATACCTTTCTAACAATAGTATAATGGAAAATGATAAGACAATTGTATGGAATACAAAGCTTATCAGTGAATAATTAAGATCGTTTTTGCAAGTTTAAAGTCATTTTTATTTCAAGAGGGAAACTTTTTTGTATTTTACCCTCATGTAAGAGAAACATAAAATTAAAAAAAGAAAACTTTAGGGTAGCCATATGATATGTATGATGTAAAGACATATATTTTGTATATATGATGTAGAAACAATCAGATGAAAATCATATTCTTTGAGCCACTTAAGTAAATCACTGCTTTGGAGTAGCATCAAAGGATATGATTTTCATCAGACTGGATGTAGAGATAGCTTATGTCTTTAAAGGAATAGTGAAATGTTCATGATACCCAGGTTACCACCAGGGCCAATTTTCCTCTTGCTTTTATCTTATAAATGTTTATAGTATTGGTGTAATTATTTTAAGTGCAATATTATTACATACTGTGGAATCGTTAGATTTCATGGTGGCTTTATTTTCGAGGAATTCATGGGTACCTCTCATCCATGAATAAACATCCTCCACAAATTAATAAACTATGCTCACAAAGTCATATTTCCATTTTTAGGTATATGAGAATACACGAAATTATGCCCTCAAGAACCTTTAAAATTTAAGCAATCAACGAAAATTGGCCCTCACGAATTTTAAGGATTCCACAGTATGGACAAGTATTTTTAAAAAAGATTGATAATTGAAAGATTCACAGATTGAATTAAAGGTTGTCAGATATATTGATTGATGTGTCTCTGAAGGTTAAACTTTGTCTGCATTTACTGCATCCCTCCAGCTATACTATATACCTCGGTGATATCCTGTGAAGGACTGTTTCCCAGTCCGGGCAGTTTATGAATCTATTTCAGTTAAAATTGAATACATGAATCAGCCACATACTGTATACAGGGACATTTTCGCCCCCGTTTTATTTTCACCCCTTTCGCCCTACTCATCACTGGGCAAATTTAAAATGGGGCGAATTCAAAGAACACAATATAATATCATAAACAGAACTGTGACTGGGCGAATTAAAAATGGGACAAAATTGAAAGTGTGAAAGGATGAAAATAACACGGGGCAAAAATTACCCTGTATACAGTATTTAAATTTTTTTTTTTTATGTATTTGCCATAATGATAATAATAATAGTATTTCGTTGCAAGAATAACCTTTTTTATTATTTAAAAATTTATAATGTATAAGTTAGATTATAGGATTTAAGACTTTACTTTTTAGACACATTGAAAATCTCTTGTAATTTGAAAAGTTTGATACCTGCGCATTTAGTTATCAGCTGATAATAATTGTTTGGCATTTCAAATTTGTGTGTGATATGATACCTGCAAGAGGCATCTGCTGAAAGTAACTGTACAAACAAAACGTGTTATCATCACATAAAACCTTGAAGTACTAGTATATCTGTACAATACATGTACATGGATGGGAACAGTTGTGAGTTATACCTTTACAAAGTATATTAAGGTCTTCGTATGCTTACATAAACATGTATTATATAAATAGTGTTAAGTCATGAAAGGTTGTTGTTATGTTGTTGTGTTGTAAGAAAAAAGCAATATAATTGTCCTTTTTAATCTTGCAGTATTTATATTTAAGAGTTATTCTCTGTAAGACTTTCCCTCATATGAGAGCTGTCAGATGGCACATACAATATTTTTTTACAGCGTGAGTAGAAACAAGGTATCATGGTTTTGTGTAAGTGATCAATTTGGTATTTTTGGTCTTTGTTTGGGATCACTAAAGATTCAAAGAAGCTGAAAATCTCAATTTCCAAATTTTTCTGTGTAAGTCCATGCACCTAAGACACATAGCTACCATATTTTATTTGATATATGTTCTGAAGTTGGCCCATGATAATGAGCAAAGTTTAATTTAAAAAAAAAAGTCTATCTGTGACTGTGCTTGCTCAAAAGTGTAAGTACATGTACTTGCAAAGAATTGGTTATTGGAGAAAATTGTCTGTTTGTATTGACCCCATATTTTGTGTATTTTTGATTCTGCTTGTTTATACATTTAATTTTTATGTTACAGTAAAAGCTAATAAAAACTACAAAATAAATATGTTTTTGTAATTTGTTGAAAAGAATGGGATTTTCTTGCAAAAAAGAGTATATGACATTTATAACAAGTTATACTGGTCGAAATCTTTTACAAACAGCTTATAGATTTATCATTAAGTGTCTCTTTCAAAATATAATGATTTCGACTCTTACCCTCCTTATGTGAATGATGTATACTATGGTTAAGATTGAGTTTTCTTGATTTCATTAATTTTGTTCTTTGACATCAGAGACTGCTTTGGGGTGGGGGTGTTAAAATACCTTTTTTCAGCAGACCGGTGTTCCTTAAATGTAGATTTTGAAATGCACTTGTCAGGCAACATTACATACATGAATTTCAATATCAATTTGTAGATAAATTGGTGATAAAAGTTCGGGATTAGCATCCGACTTTCAAGTCGGTGTAGTGCAGGAAAATGATGATATAAAATATGATCATTTTAACTTCATGTAATTTCAACCTATAATGATGAAGAAAATTTAATTACGATAATTGTGAAAATATATCATAATTGCAGTGTTAACGTTCTGTAAAATATAGTAATCTCTTGTTACAAACTTGTTCCTCTACTATCATCTTTTTCTTTAAATGGCAAATAGTTCTTTGTTTTTTGTTTGTTTTGTTTTAAGCTCACCTGAGCCGAAGGCTCAAGTGAGCTTTATTGATCAAAATTTGTCCGTTGTCATCGTTGTCGTCGTTGGCGTTGTTAACTTTTCACATTTTCATCATCTTCTCCAGAACTACTGGGCCAATTTCAACCAAACTTGGCACAGAGTATCCTTGGGTGAAGGGGATTCAAGTTTGTTCAAATCAAGGGCCACGACCTCCTCCAAGGGGAGATAATTAAGAATTAGTGAAAAATTAATAACATCCTTTAAAAGTCTTCTCAAACACCACTGGGCCAGAAAAGATGGAACTCATGTGGAATCATTGTCAGGTAGTGTAGATTCAAGTTTGTTAAAATCATGACCCCGGGGGTAGGGTGGGGCCACAGTAGACAGTCAAAGTTTTACATAGGAATATATAGTAAAAATCTTCTTCTCAAGAACAGCAAAGCAATGATTGGTCATATTAATGTGAAAGCATTCTCAGGTGATGTAGATTCAAGTTTGTTAAAACATGACCCCCGGGGGTAGGGTGGGGCCACAGTGGAGGATCAAAGTTTTACTTAGGAGTATATAGGAAAAATCTTTTCAAGAACAGCAAAGCTATGATTAGTCGTATTAATGTGAAAGCATCCTCAGGTAGTGTGAATTCATGTTTATTCAAATCATGACCCCCAGGGTAGGATGGAGTCACAAAGGATGATCAAAGTTTAACATAGGAGTATATAGGAAAAATCTTTAAAAACTTCTTCTCAAGAACAGCAAAGCTACGATTGGTCATATTAATGTGAAAGCATCCTCAGGTGGTGTAGATTCAAATTTGTTCAAATCAACCCCCCCCCCCCTTTTAGGGGTAGGTTAGGACTACTTATGCATTTAAGGTTTTCAATACTAAACTGATTTTTGCTTATTCCCTAGCCACAGTGCTCAGGTGAGCGATGTGGCCCCTGGGCCTCATTTTTGGGGTGGGTGGGTGGGTGGTGGGGTGATCAATAAGACAGTCCAGTTAATATGTCCCTTTATTCGTTTTATATTGCCAAAAGAATAAAGATATGTTTTTAAAATATCTGTGATTGGATCAATCCAATTAAAATTTGACCTTTCATCTCGTTCCTCTTTTGATATGTATTTGGCGCCCCTGAAATAGATAAAGAGCGAGATGAAAGGATGTTTACTTAACTTAATTGATAACTTTGTTTATATCTCTGTTCGGATTAAGGATATTTTTGAAAAAAATCAATTATTTTTTTTAAGGGGCTGCGAAGGTATAATGTATATAGTACAAGAATCGCACATATATATTAATAAACCATTTGAGTACTAGTATATTATTTGATATTTTTATTAGCTCACCTGAGCTGAAAGCTCAAATGAGTTTTTCTGATCACATTTTGTCCGTGTCCGTCTGCTGTCTGTCCATCTAGCTGTCAGTCTGTCTGTCCATCCGTAAACGTTTCACATTTTGAACTTCTCCAGAACCAGTGGGCTAATTTCAACCAAAGTTGCCACAAATCATCCTTCAAGGGATTCAAGATTATTCAAATGAAGGGCCACATCCTCTTTCAAGGGGAGATATTTAAATGTTTGAGGGATCAAAGTTTTAATAGGAATATATAGAAAAAAATCTTTAAAAATCTTTTCAAGAACAGCAAAGCCATTATTAGTGATGTTATGGAAGCATCCCCAAGTTGTGTAGATTCAAATTTGTTCATATCATGACTCCCAGGTGTACGATAGGGTCACATCTTAAAAAAATCTTCTGAAGAACAGCAAATCAAAGACATGATTAGTCATTTTGATTTAGAGGTACCTTTAGAAAGTATTAATTTAGATATGTTCAAACTACAAACCCCGTGGGACCTACGATGGGGGATCAAAGTTTTGCATAGGAATAAATAGGAAAACACTTTTTAAAATCTTCTCAAGAACAGCCAAACCATAATTAATCATATTGACATGGAAGCAACCTCATGCAGTGTTAATTTAAATTTGTTCAAATCACTACCCCTGGGGGTAAGTGTGTGATCACAACTGGGAATCAAAGTTTTACATTGGAATATATATAATTTAAAAAAAAAATGTTCTTCTTAAGAACAACAAAACCATGATGTGTCATTTTGATAAAGAAGCATTCCCAGTTAGTGAAGATTCAAGTTTGTTCAAATCATAACCCCAGGGCGTAGTGTGAGGCAGCAATGGGGGATTAAAGTTTTACACAGGAATACATAATATGAAGAAATCTTAAAAAATATTCTCGAGAACAACAAAGCTTTGATTAGTCATATTGATGTGGATGCACCCTCAGGTCATGTAAATTCAAGAAGTTTGTTCAACTCCAGAGGTAAGATAGGGTCACATCTTTAAAAATCTTCTTCTCAAGTACAACAAAACCCTGATTATTTATTGATATGGAAGAATTCTCAGGTAATGTTAATTCAAATTTGTTCAAATCATGACACGGGGGGGGGGGGGATGGGGTCACAATTGGGGGTCAAAGTTTTACATTGCAATAAATAGGTAAAGAATCTTTAAAAATCAAAATCCTCTTCTCTATAACAGCAAAGCCATAATCAGTCATATTGATATTGAAGCATCCTCAGGTAGTTAAGATTGAAGGTTGTTCAAATCATGACTACCGGAGGTAGGGTGCGTGCACAATGGGAAGATCAAAGTTTTACTTTGGAATATATATGAAATCATCTCATAAAATCTTCTTCTCAAGAACAGCAAAGCCATAAGTCATATTGATTTGGAAGCATCTTCAGATAGTGTAAATCGACTCAAGTTTATTCAAACTATGACCCCTTAGGGGTAGGATTGGGCCACAATGGTGGATCAAAGTTTTAAGAAGAAAATATATAGGAAAAAATCTCGAAAAATCTTCTCAACAACAGCAAAGTCATTATTAGTCAAAGTGATATGGAAGCATCTGTGACCTGATCATGACAATGAACACACAGCGGGTGTGACAAGCAGTGAGGAATCATTTTTGTGCCAGCACCTACTGCGACAAGGAACCTCGGTTTATAGTCACATCGGGTCCCGCAGTGGATTTGAATTCGAACCGGTGACCCAAGGAACAGCTCTACTCCGCGACTCTAGAGCAAACGCTCTAACACAGCGCCACGCGGGCGACGAGCTCTATTGGTAAAATCTTGTGATACTCAATCCATCAAATTAAGACGTCATTTATTGATAGGTAAATGACTGACAAACTTCTGAATTTGCATCCGGCTAATTCAAGTCTGTGTATGTAATGCAAGAAATTAATGAAGATATAAACTATGGTAATGCCATCCTTTGATAATAAAGACTAGATAATTGCTTAAAACGTTTCCTTTTAGAAAAAATTTAATATAATTGCGTATTAACTTTCTGTAATCATTATCTCTTCTAACAAACTAGTCCCAAGTTCAAACTAGTCTGAAAAGCACAAGAAACATCTAGAAACCTAACTAGAATTCGAATTTTTAATTTCAATTGGTACTATTAAGATCGTTTAAGCTACTGATATAACTGTTCTTTTAAAAAAAAAGTCGCCTCAAAGGTAAAGGACACAACACTATTCATTAAAGGCTTGTGGAAAGGGGGTAGGCGAAAGCTCATAGGCTCACTCAGTTTCAAAGGAACAGTATATGTAAAGAAGCTGAAATTGTTAAAATTATTGATATTAAGACACTCAGTGTGTGCATCTTTTGTCAAGAAATAATATAATCAAGAAGAAATCGGTAAGACAACGTGTATTAATCTCTCCCTTATCGCGTTTAGGTATAGATATCATACATCAGTGCCAATAAGCAAATTAAGCATTAAACATTAAACATTAGCAATAAAGTTTTTGAAAAATCCTTTCTTTAACAGATGATAAAAAATCTAACAAATGTTGTAGTGTAGACACTCCTTTTGGAAATTTTTTATTTTTTTTCCCTTTAATTTCAATTTGCAAACTGAAAGGTAAATGAAATAATAAGAGCAAAATGCATGCTTAATAAACGGACTTTACGTTAACAGATGCATATAAAATAAGACATATACCCGAAACCCAAAAATTACGACAAAAAGTATCGATGCTTTAAATATTATTTCTGGTAAATTGTAAGTTGAGTCAATTTTAGAGCACACCTGTAAGTTCCATTGAAGTCTATACAAATGATTAATACAACCGGAGTATCAAAAATACTTTTGTAGGTTTAAGCAAAGATCAACGGACGTTGCAATTACGAGTTCATTACAAATTTATCAATTGCCTTAAAAAATAATAAGCAGAACAAGTTATATAAAAGATTTCTTTTCATGGTTAAAATGGAGGGGATTCCAACTGATTATATATTTAAAAAAAAAAAGAAAAAAATATTACGTCAAAGTGGGTTAAAGTGATTAA